GCAGGGGACACGGGTTCCAGCCCTGGTCTGGGAAGATCCCATATGTTGTGGAGCAACTAAGCCCGTGCACCACAACTACTGAGCCTACTCACCACAACTACTGAAGCCCACACGCTCTAGGGCTCGTGCTCTGCAACAAGAGAAGCCACCACAATGAGATGCCCGCGCACCGCAATGAAGAGTAGCCCCCGCTCGCCACAACTAGAGGAAGCCCGCGCGCAGCAACGAAGACCCAATGCAGCCAAAAATAAATAAATAAGTACATACGTAAATAAATAAATAAATAAAAGCATTAACCGTAAAGCAGGGAGAAAAGGATAAAATGGACTTTAGGAAAATTAAAGACCCTTTCATCAAAAGATCCCACTGGGGGGACTTCCCTGGTGGTCCAGTGACTAAGACTCTGCGCTCCCAATGCAGGGGGCCCGGATTCAATCCCTGGTCAGGGAACTAGATCCCGCATGCTGCAAACAAGAGTTCATAAGCTGCAACTAAAGATCCCACACGCCACAACAAAGATCCTGCATTTAGCAACGAAGATCCCGCATGCAACAACTAAGACCTGGCACGGCCAAATAAATAAATAAATATTGAAAAAAAAAAAAAAAGATACCATTGAGGGGAATTCTCTGGCTGTCCACTGGTTAAGACTCCTCACTTTCACTGCCGAGGGCCCAGGTTCAATCCCTGGTCGGGGAACTAAGATCCCACAAGCTGCACGGCACAGCCAAAAAAAATACCACCAAGAGTGAAAAGGCAAGCCTCAGAGTGGGAGAAGGTCTCTGCAATGCATATTCCAACAAAGAACTTATATCCAGAACATATAAATAGATTACAAATCAATAAAAAGGTCAGATATTCCAATTTTCTAAAAATAGAGAAAGATCTGAGCAGGGACTTCCCAAAAGAAGGTTCCAAACAGGCAATAAATGACAAAGTGGTCACCTTCCACGGTCGTTAAGGAAATGTAAGTTAAAACTACAATAGGGTTGGCACCTTCCTATACTCAGCACCGGCTAAACTGAGGAGCGACTGGAATTCTCCTTCACACACTGCCAGTGGGAATGGGGAATGGTACCGCCACTTTGGAAAATGCTTTGGCAGTATCTACCGAGGCTGGAAAACTCCAGCAATTCCACTCCTGCAAATACACTCGACAGAAATGCCTATGCATGTTCACCGAAAGGCGTGTGGTAGGGTGTTCACAGCAGGACTATTCACAATAGCAAAAGAACTAGAAACAACTTCAATGCGCATCAATTTGGTGGGTAAGTAAATCGCGGTTCGTTCATATAACAGGACATATAACGAGACTAAACTATTTGCAGCAACGTGGGTGAATCTCACAAACACGTGTTGTGCACAAGAAGGCAGACCAGAGAGAGAACATAGAATACGATGCCATTTATGTGAAGTTCAAAGCAGGCAAAGCTAACCTGGGGGGTGGTTAGAGACCAGAAGGGGCATATGGAGAGCTGGGGGTGGGAGAACTGGTCCCACAGGTGTGTTCAGTAATTGCAAATTCAGTGAGTGGTACACTTAACGATTTGTGCAAATTTCTGTATGCATGTTACACTTCTATAAAAATCCCTTGAAACTAAGAAATGTTAAAGTAGGGTGGGTTCTAGAACATTCCTCACAAGCTGCTTGCCTGGACCTTTTTTGTGAAGCCAGGACCCAATTCCATATCCAAGACTTCCTGGAGGGCAGTTTAAAGGACCCCCATCTAGTTTACCCCCTTCAGTTTATTATGAATATTTTAGTTCCCTCATTTTATAGGAGGAAGCTGAGGACAGAGAGAAGAGACCCATCCAGGTCACAAAGTGTACGGACGGCAGGGCCAGGCCTAGAACGCAGAAGCGAGGCCTTGGAAAGAAGCAGAAATCGACGTGGTGTGGCGCAACGTAGAAGCACGTGGGCTCTGCCATCCTCTAGTTGCGCGATTCGCGTCACCTAACCCTCCTGCACCTTAGTTTTGTCTGAAAATCGGCGCTCACAATGGTACCTGCCTCGGGGCTGCCATGAACGCCAAGTAACTCCAGCGAACAGCTCAGCATACAGCTCAAAGACTCTGGCCACGATGGTGGCTATTCTTTACTTTTTTTGGCCCAACTACTCGGCTTGTGGGATCCTAGTTCCCCGACCGGGGATTGAACCCCGGCCCTCAGCAGTGAAAGCGCACAGTCCTAACCACTGGACAGCCAGGGAATTCCCGACTACTATTCTTACTGATGATGCCAGATGGAGAGAGAAAAGGGATTCACATGTGCTCAGCACATCTTCCCAGCAGGACACTGCCGGGGGGCCTGCTGATCTCATGCCATCCTCCCACAGCCCTTCAAGGTGGGACTATTAGACCCATTTTACGGATGAACGTATGGAGCCTCGAGAGCTGGATGACCTGAGGTCCAGGCAAAGCCAGGAATGCAAGTGAGGTCTGTCTGACGCCAGAGGCACCAAAGAGCAGGACGACATGTCCCAGTCTGATGAAGGGAGAACCTCTCTGGGAGGGGGTGGGGCCTGGGGCTTGGGGAAGGGCCCTGCAAAGCCTCATCCCCTGGGGCACCTCTCCTGCACCCCCAGCTTCCCTGAGGGACCTCTCTCGGTCTTGGCACCAGCCCGCCCTCGCTCAACTCCAGATGTGTGGGCACCACCCAGGGACAGCCCCAGCCTCCACCCCACCTGCTCCCTCCTCCAGCCCAGCCCATCAACATCCCACATCAGATCCCCTCCCTCCCCACAGCCCCAGACAGCTCAGGCCTCATCCTCCCCAACCTGGGGCGTCTCTCTCTCCTGCAGCCTCCCTCAGGGCCCCACTTTTCTGACACCCAGATCTGGCCCTGCCCCTTCCTGCTTAACGGTCTCTAACGACCAGGATAAGCATAACTAAGTTCTCCAGAGACCCTTCCCCACCTCTGTCACAGCACTCACCACCCCCCCATGTTCCATGGGGCACCACCCCAGGCCCAAGGGACAGAGCAGGGAATAAGACAAGCCCTGAAAGCTTCCTGTCCCCGGCGCCCAGGTTGACTCACGTCTGAATCCCCGAGTGCCTGGAGCAGGCCCAGCCCAGAAACACAAGTCTGAAAATGTTAGTGAACGAATGGACAGGTCCGGCTGTGCACACTGAGGCCACTGCCTCCGCATCCGATCTGGCAAACACCTCCTGAGGCCCCTGCTCCTGTGGTTCCTGCTGCCTGGAAGGCCAGGTCCCTCCTTCTCTGTGCACCCAACTCCTACACAGCTTCTAAAGCCCTGTCTAACACCACCTCCTCTGTGAAGCCTTCTTCAGGCCTTTGAAGGCTGAGGCAGCCCCTCCTTTCTGTGGGGGTCCCTTATTACCCTGTGTGGAAATGATTGTGTCCAGGTCTGTCTCCATCAGACTGGGATTCCCCCTGCAGGGTCACTCAAGGATAGGGAGACCACGGGACCACCTGGGACTCATTCCTCCGCCTCCAGAATATGTGTGAGGTCTGGCGCAGGGCAGCTTCAGTAAATATTTGTGGAATGAATGAGAAAATGAATGACTCCATCAGGAGAAAAATGAAGGTCAGGAAGAGGGCAACACTGGCTCAGGGGCCCTGGGGAGAACTGGAGACAAGTGTGGGAAAAGACTGGAAGCCCCCCGGGGTCACAGCCCTGCTCTCCTGATACCCCCTCCCTGACCTCCGCCCCTGCTCCCCACCGAGAACCCCAGGAAGCCTCTGGGGTTGGCTCCACTCCCACACGTGCAGAGGCGCTCCGTCTCCCAGCCAGCCTGGCCTGGTCCTCAGGGCCCCTGAGTGAGGCTGTTACGAAGTGTTTGGTTTCCCGTCTGTAAGCCATCTGGCCCTCCCCCGGAGGAGGTCCACATTAGGTCAGGAGCTCCCTAGGGACAGAGGAAATAGCTCTGTGACGCGCTGCTTTAGGGGGCCTCCGACGTCCTGTGGAGCCTGTGTAATCCTCTCAACCTCAGCATCCACAGCTCTCAGCCGGTCCGCCTCACGGTGACCGAGGGGCTTCGCCCAGACAACGGATGCCAGCGGGCCAGGGACCCAGCTGCTCGAGGCAGCTTCCTGCTCCCCAGGTCCTGTGCGTCTCCCGTCCCTGGCCTCCTGGCAGGAAGCAGCAGGTGCAGGGGAGAGGGCAGGGGCTCCGAGCATGTCACTCAGCTCCAGCAGGGACTCGCCCTGTGACCTGTTTCCTTACCTTCAAAAGGAGGAAGATAGGACAAACCTCACCGACTAGCTGAGAGGTTTAATGAGTGACACCTGCAAGGGCCTAGCACCGTGCCTGCTGCAGAACAGGTGCTCCATATATCCTCGCGGACCCACAAAGGCACCTCGGTCTCTGGTCTGGTAAAATGCAGGAGTGACACTCCAGGGGCTACAGGACCATCTCCACGGCTGGTGCTCAGGAAGGAGAGGACTGGACATTCAGAGCACAGTGGTTAAGACTCGGACTCTGGAGACTCAGAGACGCGGCATCCATCCTGGCTATGCCTTATAAGAGACGTGGCATTCGTCCTGGCTATGCCTTATACTTGCTGTGTGACCTGGGCAAGTCGCTTTACCTCTCTGAGCCTCTTCAAGATGGATATTAAATAAGTTGGCATGTGTCAACACACTCGGTGGGCAAATGTGACAAAATGACTGCTCTAGCAATGGCGATTTACAGGGGCCTACCCTGGGCCAGGCGCTGCGAGAGGCGCCCCGCCTGTACCACCTCGTGGAATCCTCATGATGCCAGTCGTTCCCATCTCTGCCGTGCATCGGCAGGCTGGCAGCACCCAGGGCTGGACCTGGCTCTGATGGCAGAGTCTGTGCCCACCGCTGCTCCAGCAGCAATTAGGCTGGTGACGTCGCGGCCACAGTCAGGAGTTGTTGGGTGCCTGGGTCACGTCCCCACTGGTCCGTGTGCCGTGCCAGCCCAGGCATCCCTCCTCCTCACTAGGACTGGCCTGGGGCACCGCTCAGGAAAGGCACCTTCATCTACCGCCTGTCCCCACAAGGGCCACTCACCAGGATGGTCGTAACCACCAGCGTCTTATTGGCCAGTGTCTGAGACAGGTTGATGTCCAGGGTGGTGGCGTTCATCGCCAGGGTCCGGTTGGAGTACCACACCCCGATCTGAGGCAGAGAGGGCACTGTCAGCACAGGCCCTGCCTGAGGATGCCTCAGCCCTCTGGGCCCCGCCCCGCCCTGCCCCAGCCCCCAGCTCCATCCAGGCTCTGGCATTGTCCTGGGGATGCTCACCTCACGGTGGCCCTGCCGAGACTTCTCCAGGATGCGCAGGGTGTAGTTGGTCCTCTGACCTTTGCTGTTGAACTCGACACGCCCAGTCAGCCCGTCATACTCTACCTAGCAGGGCGGGAGGAGGGCAGAGGGAAGGGTGGCAGGGGCCCAGAGGGGAAGAGACAGAGATGGAGGAGACGAGAGAGAGGGAGGGGGACCAGGAAGGACCACAGTTAAACGAGTAAGACAACATGCCAGCAAACGAGAGGAGATGGAACAAAGAAGCAGGGCAAGGGCAGCGCAGACAGGCAGAGGAAGGCCGGGAGAGGAGAGACAGACGGGAGAGTGAGGCCCAGGGAGAGCAGGAGGTGGGGCCGGGGTCGGAGGTGGGGGGACAGGGCAGAGGGGGTGCCGCGGGGTGGACACAGTGAGCACCGCCCCAGGAGGCAGGCTGCCACGCCACCTCGGCCCTCCCCACTCCCGGCTCACCATGCGCAGGTAGTTCATGAGGCTGGTCCCATGGGGCCAAATGTTGGCCGACGTACAGGCCAGCGGCTTCACACCGATCTCCTGGCTGCGGTTCAGCTCCCGGACGGCACTCACCACCACGTGCACGGCGTCGAACATCAGGGCAGCTGACAGCTGGGGTGTGGGGTGTGGGGGGGGGCAGAGATGGGGAGGGATGGGAAAGATGCAGTTCAGCCAGGGGAGCCCCAAAGCCCCGTGTACCACCCCCAAGCCCTGAGACAACTCTCCTCTCTCCAGGAACATAAAACCACGCAGGTCAGGAGCGAGGATGGTCTTCTAGGGGATCGGAGATGACAGTGGGAAAGACGTGCATGCTGCCCACGCCGCCATGGGGGCAGCTCTTCCTGACTGCGTGCGGCCTGTGTCTGTTTGGGGAAGGGCACGTCTGACAGGGTTTGCCTAGACGGCCAGCTGTCACCCTCAAGGGGGATGTTGGTGGGCGCAGGAATCTGTGTGTCTTTGTGGCTGATGTAGGGTCATGGAGGGTGGGGGGAGACAGCCACAGCCCCTGTCTGAGTGTGTCTGGGGACACATTTATGTGGGTGGGGCTGGAAAAACATGCTTATTTGTCTATATACAGGGTGGGCCTGATGTGCAGGAAGCAGGAGAACGTAACGGTTATGAGTCCAGGGCTTGGGAGGCTCTGAGCTGGAGGCCCGGCCCTACTACTTCCTGTAGAGAACCAAGTCCACACCTCTCTCAGAATCTCAGTTTCCTCCCTTGTAAAGGAAGGGTGATAGTTATCTCTGCCTCCGAGTGGGGCTTATGTGGGGCTCAAGCGAGACAATGCATGCAAAGTGCTCAAAATAGCGCCTGGCACACAGTGAGGGCTCGACACAAACTGGCCACTGAGCGGTGACGGCCAACATGGGATGTGTGTCTGGGAGAGCGTGTCTTGGCTGGGTGGGGTAAAGGTCTGAATATCCGTGTTGGGTAGGTAGGTGTGGGGTGCGGATGGATGCTCCCCTGTCCGTGTATGTGTGCGATGGCCCTGCATGCACATGTCTGACTGCAAGGCTCAGTGTCTGTGTGAGTTTTTGTGCACGTAGGAGTGTCTTGGTACCTTGGTGTATGGCTAGATGTTTGTGAACAAATACACATAAATATGCATCTTTTGTATGTTTGCATTTATTCAACATATATTATCAGATACTACTCTGAGCAGGTGGTTTTAGATGCTGGTTATACCATAGTGAACAAAACAGAAATGCCCGCCCTCATGGAACTTACAAGCTAAATATCTGTACATACCTCTAAGCAAAACATAGAGCAAGCCACATGGTGATTAGATAAGCAAAGATAGATGCTATGGAGAAAAATCTGGCAGGGAAGGTGGCTAAATAGTGGGTAGTTTGCCATTTTGTAAACAGGGGGACATTTGAGCAGTAACTTGGAGAGGAGGGAGCAAATTGCTAGTTCCCTGGGGAAGTGCACACAAAGCAGCAGGAAGAGCAAGTGCAAAGGCCCTGAGTTGCGCATGTGCTGGGGCAGCAGAGGCACCTGGAGGAGACCCATGTGGCTGGAGCGGCTTGGGAGGTGGAAAGGAAGAAAGGGCTCAGACTTAGCTCAGGGCCACGCTGTGAGGCCTCGTGGATGTTCTCAGAAAGCGAGTGGGGCACCGGAGGGTTCTGAGCACAACCGGCCAAGGCCTGAAGGGGCCCCCGAAGTGTCTGTGTGCAGGATGCCCATGTGCCGGGGGCAAGGGTGTGAGCTCACCGCGGGGCCGGGGTAGGTGCTGGCTTCACAGTTCTCCCTCCAGGACATGTTGAGGCTGCGCACAAACTCAGGATAGAAGGGGTGAGAGGTGTTGAACATGGAGAAGCCCAGGATGTTGGAGGAGTCCTCCACGATCCCGTCCAGGTGCAGGATGGGGAAGTCCTGGGACCGAGAAGAGGGGGTGAGGGAGGGGCTGGGCCCACGTCAGGGCAGATGCTGCACGGGGAGATGGGGGCTTCGGGGGCTGCAGAGGGTACGCACCATGGTGGTGAGGATGTACTTGTAAAACGCTGAGGTCATTCCCAGCTCCGAGGCCTGGAGAACACAGGAGGCAGGCATGGGGAGAAGTCGAGAGAGCAAGAGAGATTTAGAGACAGGCCTTGCAAGGAGACACCCCATAAGGAACAGTAAGAGACACCCAGAGACAGAGAGAGACAGGGGAAAGGAGACAAGTGGGGGCAGAGGGAGACCTTGGTTGCTCATGTCCCGCAGGGTGACTAGGGCCCAGGTGGGAAGAAGATTTTGTTGAAGGAGAGAATGACACCCTCAAGTGCCCGCCTCCCTCTTTAGGTCACATAGAAGACTGCCTTCTGGAGACAGGCAAAGGGACACCTCAGAAACAGGGTGGGGGAGGGCAACCTTAACCTTAACCTTAACCCCCAGGTTGCCCCAAAGCCAAATTTGGGCTGCTAATTTGTAAGGCTCAGCCTGGTCACAGGTCAGAAAAACTACCCCCTGCAATCTTTAAAAGCACTTTGCAGGGCTTCCCTGGTGGCGCAGTGGTTGAGAGTCCACCTGCCGATGCAGGGGACGCGGGTTCGTGCCCCAGTCTGGGAAGATCCCACATGCCGCGGAGCGGCTGGGCCCGTGAGCCATGGCCGCTGAGCCTGTGCATCCGGAGCCTGTGCTCTGCAGCAGGAGAGGCCGCAACAGTGAAACGCCCGCATACCGCAAAAAAAAAAAAAAAAAAAAAAGCACTTTGCAATGAAAGGCAGCCAATTTAAATCTCAAGATTCGGGAATTCCCTGGCGGTCCAGTGGTTGGGACTCCACGCTTCCACTGCAGGGGGCACAGGTTTGATCCCTGGTCAGGGAACTAAGATCCCGTAAGCCGTGCAGCACAGCCAAAAAAATAAAAAAATAAAAAAATAAATAAAAATAAATAAATCTCAAGATTCATGTTGTGAGCCCCCTTTCTCACAGTCCTCAAGGAAAACAAAGTTAGAAGACGTCTCCATGCTAGGAGTGCCCAGTTCTGTCCTGCTACCATCATTAGAACATGAAATGGCACCAGACTGCATTGCCTGTGTGGCAGGAGCTGTTATCACATGGGTTACAGCCCATTCCAGGACAGAAAAATGCAGGCTTGAGAGGAAAGTGACCACCGGTCACTTGGCTCGCACAGGAGGGGCTGGGACCCCGGCCCAGGCCTGCATTGTCTGCCTCCAGAACCCGAAATCTTTTCTCTAAGCCTCAAGAGCCCTGTGGATTCTGTCCACACTTCTTCCTGTTAGCTACGATAGGCAATGATATATGGTTTTAATTTTTTAAAAACTGGAGAAAAATAAATAATACACATTCGATTATGAGGAAAAATTAAGAGCAGGGAACAATGAATGATTAATGAATGTGGGTCACCATTGGATGGCATGCGGAGGGCCCATGGGGAAATGTCCTGTGCTGGCCCTTCCTGGGTGGTGCCCTTGAGACAGTCCATTCCCCGCCCCCGCCAGAACCCCTGCTTCTTCATCCAAAAAATGGTATCATACCTGCCCTGCCCTGCAGGTTGGAGTGAGAGCCAAATTACCTTGTTTTTTTTTGTTTTTTGGGGGCCACACTGAACGAATTGTGGGCTCCTAGTTCTCCGACCAGGGAGAGGACCAGGGCCCCCTGCAGTGGAAGCGCAGAGCCCTAACCACTGGACCACCAGGGAAGTCCCGAGAGCCAAATTAAAGAAGGCACGCAAACACCTCAACACAGAGTAGGAGAGGCACTCAGTAAAGATGACAGGGCGCTCCCACTACGCCCGCGTTTATTCTGGGCCAGGGCCTGTCCCAGTGCTTCCCCACCTTTCACTCATTAACCCTCATGACACCCCACTGAGGTAGCAGGTATGCACAGAGAGGGAAGGCGACTGTCCAGGGTCCAACAAGGGTGCAGCCGGCAAGCAGCTGAGCTGAGAGACAAAACTTCGTATTTAGCGTTTGCACGTAGGAAGCGGGGCTCCAGACCACCACGTGATAACTGAGGCCCATGGGCCTTGGTTGACTTGTTCTGTCACCCCATGTTTCTGCTCCTGACCCTGTAGGGAAATCAGAGACGGGACCCACCAGAGAGGGGAAATCAGGTGGGGACCCACCTTACGGAGAATGAGGTGGGAAATGGATGCGTTGGCGTCGATGATGATGGTGGACACTTTGTCATCTCGGATCTCCTTGAGCAGCGGCGTGGGGTCCCGGCTGTCGTCCAGCATCCTCACTGACAGCGTCTCCTTGGAGATGAGGAAGCCGCGCACCAGTTCCTCCAATCGCAGCAGGCCTGAGGGAGGGGTGGGGCCCTGGGTTAGAGCCCCTCCGTGTGCCTGGAGTTGGGGCAGCCGCTCCCTCCTCTCTGGCACGGGGTAGCTGGGAGAGGACCAGGGCTCGCCCAGGATGTGGGGTGGCTGTTTGGAGTGCAGCTGGCTCTCTTGGGGTGCTGGGCCCAGGTGCCTGATGCTCAGGTCCTCTCAAATTGAAGTCTCAACCGAGACCTCCCCCGACCTCCAGATCGCTGTCTCCTGCCACCTTTCTGCCCCCACCGGGCTGCATGACAAACGTCGCACACTTCACGTGTGCATAGTCGCAATCTGCTCTCCTCGCCAAACCACCACAGTGGTGAACAGACTCCAGCCGGCCAGGCGCTCAGGCCAGAACCTTTGACGGCAGCCTGGCCCCTGTCTGTCTCTCACACCCACGGTCAATCCACCCAGGCTCTACTTTCAAAACACACCCCATGGCACCACATCCCCGTCACGGCCCTGGCCCGAGCCACTGCCATCTCCCGCCTGTGACATCGGCCACGCCTGCCCCCGGAGAGTCTGTTCCCTACACAGCAGCCAGAACTGCTGCTGTAACGCAGATGTGTCCTCCTCTGTTCCAAACCCTCCAACGGCTTCTCGCTGGTTCAGAGTGAAGGCCAAAGTCCTCACAGTCTGCAAGGCCCTACTCCATCTGCCGACTCACTTCATTATGTCCCTGACCTCATCTCCTCCTCTCCCACTCGCTTGGCTCCAGCCACGCCGGCCTCCTTTTTGTCACACACACACACACACACGTGCCCCATGGCCTCTGCGCTGGCTGTTCCCTCTGCCTGGAACGCTCCTCTCCAGACCCCCACACTCCAGATCTTTACTCAGATATCACCTCCTCAGTGAGGTCCACGCCAACCATTCTATTTCAAATTGCACCCCCTTACTCCAGCTCTCCCAATTCCCATCATCCTCCTCTATTTGTCCACAGGACTCACTACTCCTGACCAGACCACATCTTCTCTATGTCCACTGCCTGGCTCTTCTCATTAGGTTTGACAAGGGCCTGGTTCATGCACTGCCACATCCCTAATACCAAGAACAATGTCTGGGGACTTCGCTGGTGGATCAGTGGTTAAGAATCCACCTGCCAATGCAGGGGACAGGGGTTCGAGCCCTGGTCCAGGAAGATCTCACACGTCTCAGAGCAACTAAGCCCGTGCGCCACAACTACTGAGCCTGCGCTCTACAGCCTGCGAGCCACAACTACTGAAGCCCGCGCGCCTAGAGCCCATGCTCCACAACAAGAGAAGCCACTGCAGTGAGAAGCCTGCACACTGCAACGAGTGACCCCCGTTGGCCGCAACTAGAGAAAGCCTGCGTGCAGCAACGAACACCCAACACAGCCAAAAATAAATAAATTAAATAAATAAGTAAAAAGTAAAAAATAAAAATAATGTCTGGACCACGGCAGGTGTGCAGTGAATACCTTTTGAAAGAGGAATCCCTCCTGGAGGTGACTGAGCACAGTCCTCTCTTTCTCCAGCGGCACCCACAAGCCCGTCAGCCTCCCAGACGTCTCCACTTGAATGTCTCAAAGACACCTCAAACACAGTGTGCCCCTGAACTGACTGTCCCCTCCTCCTCGGGCAGGACCTGGTCACCGTCCGTGACCCCACCCTCTCCCTTCCCTCACAACTCTCCTCAAATCCATTCTGGCCCCTCCGTCCCCATGCCACCACCTGAGCCCTAACCAGGACCATCCCTCCCCGCCTCTAGCTGCTCTCCATGCCACATCTCGTGTCATGGAGTCTCCAAGTCTGCTCTCTGTGTTGCAGCCAAAGAGCCCAAAGAGCTCTTCCTGCAACACACTCGTCCCTGCCCGGTATGGGTACTTTCCATGGCCCCCATCGTCTTCAGGAAAAAACAAAAGGCCCTCAGTGATCATGCCCCGTTCCCGGGTCCTACTTCATTGCTCCCATGCTGGGAGCATCTCTGAGCCTCCCAGGGCCTCGCCTCTGCCCTGCCCTGCCCTCTGCTTTGTACATACTCCCTCTCTTCTCTCCCACCTCACCTCCTCCCTACCTTTCAGGTCCATCTTAGAGGTCCCTTTCTCTGGGAGGCAGGCTCTGAACCTCCTAGACTAGGGTTGGATCACCCCCGCTTAACTCCTGAGAGCTCGCAACACTCCGCATCACAACTGCTCGACCACGGCGTCCCCCAGTGGCCCCGGAGCTCCGGGAAGCCGGGGACCACGCCTAGCGTTGTTCACTGCTAAATCACTGGGACCTAGCAGGGGCCCTGCTCCGAGCACGTGCTCAGTCACTATCTGCGGACTAAAGAGTCTCTTTAGGGGCAGGAGTGGGTGGGGAGGGGGTGGCCTGTGGAACCAGAGGTCTGGGTTCCTAAAGGGGAAGGGATGGTGGAGACTAGGAGAGCCTGTGTCTGGATCCCCCGGGCCTTAAAATCAGGGGGCATTCATGACTGTGGGAGACTAGATGTCTTGGGAAGGGGAGTTTGGGGAAATAGAAAATAAGGCATCCAGTTCTCCTCCCTCGTGGGACTTCCCTGGCAGTCCGGTGGTTAGGACTCTGCACTCTCACTGCCAAGGGCCTGGGTTCAATCCCCGGTCGGGGAAACTAGGATCCCACAGGCCGGGCGGCGCGTCCAAAAAAATAAAATAAAATAAAAAACAGTTCTCCTCCCTCACACTCGGCCTTGGCGCAGATGAGGCTGGCCGAAGGGTAGTTGAAGGACTTGAGGATCCGGGAGACCGCCAGGCTGACGTCCTCGTTACTGGGGTACAGGCTGACAGACGCGAAGCGAAGGTACTGAAGGCGGGGCATCTCCTCGGGACCCACCTTGACGTGGGGGATCTGAACAGAGAAGGACCTTTGCTTCCATCCTGCTCCCCCCTCCCCAGCCCTCGCCTCCAGGGACCGCCCCCCCGCCAACCCCGCGTTCCCACCTCACCTCCTTCTCCCCACAGATATGGCTCACGGTGGAGGCTGACGCAGGGCTGGAGGAGGGCCCCAGGACAGACACGACCCCCTTGGGCAGGATCTGACACACTGTGAGGGGTGGGAAGAGACCGCAGATTCAGGGACCCTCTTCCTCCTCTCTGTCCCCGCCCTCAGGGAACTGCCTTGGCCCAGGAGAGAACCCGACACTCCACATGGAGCTGCCTGACCCTCCTCCACCACCTGGGGACCCAGAAGCCCAGTCCCTGACCCAGCCCACCGCAGGAGACAAAAGGAGGGGGCATGAGACAGAGGGAGGCAGGGAGACATGGCAACAGAGGGCCGGCTCAGACCAAGAGAGAGACAATGGAAGAAATGAAGAGGATACACCAAGGACCTCCTTCTGGCTGCAAATCCAGTGCCTGGTTTCTCAGCCTTTGTCTCTCTTAAGCTTTTGAACCACGCACAACCTAAGGTGCATCCAACACCCCCTCTACCCTGAACCCACAGCCAAGGTCCCCTCTACACTCTACACCCCAAACACCATTCCTCTGCTGCATTTCCTCGCTCCTCTTTCTTCCATTTTCTTTCTCCTTAAACATGTGTGCATCTCAAGACTGGGAGGTGGACGGAAGCCTTGGTTTTTACCTGTCCAGTGCCCATCCCCATGGCAGAACCCTAACTTTTCCTGAGGGAATCACATGGTTCCCAGAATTGATTGGTACCTGACCCAGGATCAAAGAACCACATTGTGCTGGCCACAGGGATCGGTTCAGAGATGGGGACAGGCTCAAACTAGGCCACTGAGAGCCTTCCCCAGGTCCTCTGCTAAAATTATCACTGGGTTTGCTAAACTGGTGAGATGCAAAGTTTTGAGCAGTTGAGGCCATCTTGCCACCAGCTGGGGAGGGCCTTCCTGAAAATGAAGCCAATTTAGAGGAAAGTAGGACCCAGAGATGAAGACACAGAGGTTCCTGGAACATCATTTGAGTGCCTGTATTAAGCCTTGCCTGAAACAATCCTGGGATATCATTTGGGTACCTGGATTCAACCAAGCCTGAAATTAATCTTTAGGCCTTTTAGTGACATGAGCTGATAAGTTCTCTTTTTTTCTTAAGGCAGCCTGAGTTGGGTTTCTGCCATCCAACTAAGAGCACCGTAACTAAACGTCTCATCTTCCTCCAAACTTATTCCTTCTGTGTCTTCCATGTTGGTGAGGGTCCCACCATTTACACACACCAAATACCTGGAAATGGTCCTTGCCTTCAATCTTCCTCCTAATGGCCAATTAGTCACCAAATCCTGTCTCTTTTTTGTCCCCAAATTTTCTCATATCTGTCCGCTTCTCTTTGACCCCTCCTCCCCTGTCCTACTTTAGGGCTGTCAACTCAGGCACGCACCAGTCTCCTCGCCAGCTACCCAAATCTAGCTTCCAGACTCCACTTTCACCAGCTCCCTGTTCCAAACCCATCAACGACTCCCCACTGCCTGTAGGTGAAGGTAGCGTCTTTCAACCTGACCTGTAGACCTCCTCGAGCTGGCCTGTCAATCTGCCCAGCCTCACCTCCCACTGCCGAGTCCCACTCCAGTCCAGAAGTCTCTCACCATCCCCCCAAACACGTCCTGAGTCCAGGTGTTCAGGATGGGCGCAACCCCACATCGAGTTGCTTGGCTCCAAATACTCAGCCCTCCCCTCTGCCCCAGCTCCAGACTACAGGCACATGCCTGGAATACCATCTCCCTCCATACCCTCCAACCCGGTCTCTCATTGTGTTCTGTGCTATACCAGTCAAAAAAGTCCAGGAAACATTGGACCCCATTCTCCCTCTCAGTGATCTGAAACACACATGAACATAACAAAGGCTCCGATAAAGGCCTGCAGGAAAGAACCTGTCTAAAACACCTTTGAAGGCAGCATCTCCCGAAGGTCTAATGTCCCCAGCACGTCTGTTCAAGGGACATTTGCTCAGTCTGTGAGTATTCAACAGACTCAGGCACCCCTACTATAGGGCTGGTTGTGTTCCACGGGGCATACCTTGAGCAACACCTCTCCCTCTATATCCTGCTCATCTTTCAGAGCTCAGCTTCAGTTTAGTCTTCTCCAGAACACCTTCGCTGTCCCTGCCCCTGAGGCACCCTGGCCTCGCTGCCTGGGCCCCTCATTACTTAGCTCTGGGGGCTAAGTGTCCCCAGCCAGCTGTGAAGCTTCTCTTTCAAACGAGGCCCTCAGCTCCTCCAGGGCAGCACGGGGGCTGATGCTCTCCCCACCGCCCCAGGCCCAGCAGCACCATCTCTGGGAAGGAGAGGGCAGTGCAGACAGGAAGGAAGGGGCAGATGGAACTAGAAGAGAACACGGCAAGCTGAGGTGGCCAGGGCCGAGGAACAGACGGAGGGCCACCAGCCTGCCCTGCCTCACCCCACGGCCCCTGTGGCCCTGCTCACTGGTGTCCGTGGTCTCGTACTGGCTGTCCCGCTGCAGCTCAAAGATGTCTACTTCCACGCGGGCCTTGGCTGGGACCTCGATGATCCCGTTGATCTGCTCCCGGGCCAGGGCCAGGGCCAGACGTTCACCGCGGCCACACACTGTCTGGTCGTCCAGGATGGCAGCTGAGGGGACACAGGAGTTGGGGACCATACTCCTGGGTCCTGAGGGAGGAAGGGCTGGGCTCCTGGATTCCTTGGCTCTGAGGGAGGCTGGAGGTGGAGGTGGGTCAGGGCTCCAGACTCCCTGATATGAGGTTGGAGAGAGCCGGGATCTGGACTCCTAGGTCCGGAGGAGGAAGGAGCCGGGGGCTGCTGGGCCGAGGCCCAGATCCCTGGGTCCTGAGGGGCTGGCAGGCCCAGAAAAGAACCCCAGGGAGGGCTCCGGGAGGGTCTGTGAGGAGGCAGGGGCCAGCGGGGGCGCTGTAGGGCCTCACCCATGCGCAGTGATGAGAGCACCTGGCAGCTGGGGCTGGCAAAGGCGACAATCAGCAGCAGCAGCAGCTCAGCCGGCATCTTCCTCCTTCCTCATGGGGACGCAGCTGCCGCGGCCCCCACTCGCCACCTGCAGGGAGACCCCCAGCCCACGGGGAGATTGCTGATATGGGGGCCTCTGAGCCCCTCTGGGGACTGCTGGATGGGGTGGTGACCACAGAGCCTGGGACACTGTTGCTGAGCTCTGAAGGGCCCTGCCCTCATTAGAGCTGACGAGACTGAAGGCATCGCTGTAGGGGGAGCTGAGAATCAGAGGAGCGCTAGCAGGGAGAAGCCCACAGCACGCAGGCACTGAGTGGGAGAAACACTGCTAGAGCCACCAAAATGGGAGGCAGGCATGAAAAGGATCTCAGGTAAGAGCGAATTCCAGGAACCATCTCCACCCCAGGAGGAGACCAGGAAGTGCCACCCCCCCCACCCAATTCCGCCCCTGTCTCTGGGCAGGCAGCTGTTACTAGGCAACAGAAACCGGCTGGAGAGGATGCAGTGGTTGCTAGGCAACCCCATCCCAGGCCTCACTTGCCACCTTCCTGACGTCCCTGGTTCCCACAATCCCACAGGGAGAGAGGCCTGGACATCCGGGGTCTGGAGGGGAGAGTATCCAGGAGTTAGGAAACTTGGGAAGAGAAAGACACATGGAGGCACACAGATGGAGTCAGATGGTCAGACCCGAGGCACCTAAGGGACTAAAAAAGAAAAAAGGAAAAAAGAAGGGTAAAGAGAGGGAAGGGGGGGAAGCCGAGAGACAGAAAGAGGAAGAGAGGCCAGAGGTGGGAGGGATACCAAGAGACTCAGGAAAGGAGAAAGGGAAAATAGGCCAAAATATAAGAGAACAGAAAGCTGATATGAAGACAAGAGAATGGGGATAGCAATGGAGAGAAACAGAGGAGAGTTACAGGAAGATGAGGACAGGACTAGGAAAGAGAAAGAGGGAAGAGATAGGAAGACAGTGAGACACGGAGATGGAGAGAGAAAGGGCAGGGCAGAGAGAGGAAGAGAGCAGGCAGGCAGAAGAGAGGGAAGTCAAGACACAGGAAGGACACAGAATAGAACAGGAAGACAGAATGGAGAGGACACAAACCCACCGGAGATGCCACCAGAGACCTGGATGGGAAGACTGAGTAAGGCAAGGGGTGCACTGTCTGCAGAAGCGGGTCCCAAACTGTGCCCCCGCACCCAGCACCAGGGAGCTGAAGACTAGGGGCAGACAGTGAGTCTCTGCTCCCCACAACTGCTCCAGGTGCCCTGGGCTTCTGCAGGGTGACCACTGGGCAGGGATGAGTTTGGCCAGATGCATGGTGCCCCCTGGCCAACGGCCATGCCCCCAAGGGAAGGGACACTTGGGTTTCCATGGGAGGGGGTTACTGAGAGGCCTAGAATGCTGTGAGGTGAGCCTGGGGGGCTCCCCGCACCCCACTCATGCCCACAGAAGGAGGGCTCAAGCTGGGGAGATGGTAGAATGAAACTTGCTAATGGAGACAGAGGCACAATGCAAAGTTCAGATCATCCCTTGAAGCCAGAAAACCTAGGCCAGGGCCACAAGAGACCCAGCCCTCAGCCCCTGCTCTGCCACCGACTCCCAGGTGACCTCGAGCAGATCCCTCTCTCTCTTGGGACCTCTGGGAAAGACAGGCTGGGGCTGGGAGGGCCTGCTGGACAGCCTGGGGCCTGTGGACTGTAATCGGCATCTAACGTGAAGGCCTGTCAAGGGTGGAGGAGCAAGAGAAGCAGGGAGAAGCTGGAAGGAGAATTCACAGGGGGAGGGATGTGGAGGGCGGGGCTAGGAGAGAGGCTGGAGTGAGGGGGTCATCCTGAGACCCCAGGGGCTTCTGGGGGCAAATCAGGGAGCAGAGACTAGAGGATAGATAGAAAGACCGAGAATGAGACAGGAGCCAGAAGGGCAGGGACCCACAGGTGGCAGACATGGGTGGAAGCCGAAAGACACAGTCCAGGGACAGGGCTGGGGGCAGCAGATGGACACAGAGGTACAGGAAGGCACAGACAGAAAAACAGACAGACCAAAAGTAAGTAACTGGGGCTAAATGAGAGAGAAGGACACACACACATCACCTACAAGTGAGACACCAAAGGGGACAGAGACAAGACAGAGAGCGTGAGAGAGGAGGGGCAGGGAATCAGGCCCGAGTCTCACAGGCCCAGGTACTTAGGCAAAGCCAGATAAAGATGGAAACACAGCAGCTGAGTGAGCGGAAAGGGCCCTGCCAGGGTAGGAAGACAGACAAGTGGGCAAGTGAGAGATATCACAAAGGGGAGAGGGCAAATGAGGTGAGGCAAAACAACTAACAGGTACAGGAACCGTGGGGAGAAGAGAAATTGCAAAACTCTGAAAAGAAGGAGGGCTAGTCGGAAAGAGACAGAGAGAAAAGGTACGTGAGCCACACAGTTTCTCTCGAGAAGAGGAAGGGGCAAGTGGGACAGACACAAGATAGACAGAGTCCCAAACAAGGAGAGACGAGAAGTGAGAGTCAGGGAGGGAAACTGAGGGAGGAAGAGTGAGTGACCCGGAGGGGCACAGGCAGGAGACAGGACAAGCACCCACCTAAGGGGGGCAGGTCCACACAGAGGTGCATCACTCAGAGCACCTTGGAAGGGGCGGTCATTCCCAGAGCCTGCAAGCCCCAAAGGGAGGGAAGGAATGGGAACCAAAGGCCTGGCAGGGGAATGGAGAAGTGGGAAGAGAGAATGGGGGTGGGGGGGGAGATCACCATAGAAAAAACAAAGTGGACCATGGAGGGGGGCAGTTGCTAAAGGAGTGAGGGATGGAGGAGACAGGACGAGGAGTGGATCCGGGGAAGAAAGCAGAAAAGTAAGAGGAGGAAGAGAGCCTCCGAGCCCAGAGTTAGAGAGGCAGACAGGGGAGCAGAGGCACAGGCAAAGCAAACAGGGGACAGAGGGCAGTGCAGAGAGGGCTAGACGGGGCATGGGATCCTCCCAAAAGAGAGAGAGGAGAGACAGGGGAGTTTCGAGAGACAGAGGGAGGAGAGGGAGACGGAGACAGAGATCAGCAGAGACACACCAAGAAAGGGCTGGGCTAGCAGTAAGGAGAAACAAGTTGGACAGAGCTAGAGCGAGGCCCAAGAGACACATGAAATGGAGATTCCAAAACGGAAAGACATTTCCAGGAGATACAGACCGGCTGGGATGGGACGCATGGCAGGCAGAGAGGATGAGGCTCAGAGGAAAGAAGAGAGACTGAAACAGAGTGAGAGAGCAGAGCCGGTCACCGCGGGGCCGAGGCTGGAGCAAGCAGGGGCGGAGACCAGCCAGGAGTCCCGGAGAGGGAGTGAGACCGCAAGTAAGAGCCAGCCAGCCCCTCAGGAGCCCAGCAGCTGGGGGCTGGGAGGCAAGATGAGCTCTGTACCCAGAAGAAGGGGTGAGGAAAGGCCAAGGGGAAGGAAGGCTGGGAGATGGAGGGCGCAGGGCAGGCCCTTGGTGGGGGAGGGTATCTGCCGTTCCGGGGAGCAGGGGAATGCGGGGGCCCCCCACCAGGCCGCAGTGAGCCCAGCCTTCCAGGACCCAGGCCCGGCCCCAGCCCAACCCCCATCCTGCAGACACTCACGGATCCTGGTGGGACGGAGGGCTGGGCTCCCTCGAGGCCCGAGGAACGACAAGGAGGAGATGCTCTGACGCTGGGCGGTGTGGCTGGGGCGGGGGGAGAGGGCAGTCCAGAGGGCCCCCTCCCCCACCTCCGGCAGTGGCCCCCAACTAACCCAAAATGGGGGTGCTCCCGGGGCGCAGGGAGGAAGGACAGGTGGAAGAGGAGAGGGCGGGCCGGGGAGGGGAGGAAGGGGAAAGGAGAAAATGGAGGAGGGAAGGGGAGAGAGGAGAGGGGGAAGGAGCAAATGGAGGGGAAGGAGGGAGGAAGGTGAAAACGAAAGGGAGGGGGCACAGGCAGAGCCGGGGGAGGGGGAAGCCGGCCCAGGCAAGGGCCCCCGCCCCCTCCCCTAGCCAGGCCGGCCTGGGGGGGGCCACGGGGGGCGAGGACTGGGTGGAGACAAGGAAGCTGGCCATCGGGAGAAGTGGGGGAGGGGAGGGCTTGGTGGGGGGGGAGGGGGCCACCCCTTCCCCCCTCCCCCCCTGGAGCCCCGGCCCTGCCCTGGAAGAGGCTAGGGCCTGTGGACCTCAAGCCCTCAGCCCCCACGGGAAAGCATGCTGGGGGCGGGGAGAGGCAGAGGAGTGGAGGGCCTGGGGAGGACGGGGTGCTGGGAGACCCAAAGAGTGATGAGAGGGCCGGAGAGGTGGAGAGATAGGGAGGAGGGAGAGGAGGAGGGAGGGGAGGATGGAGAGAAGCAGGTGGAAGAGGGAGAAGGAGGAGAGGGGGGTGTCCCGGGGGCACCCAGCGCAGGGCCTCAGCAGGAGGGCCTGGCCATGGACCCCTGGTTCCCTGTGAGAAGCAGCCGCTGGCTCCGGGTCCCCAGCTGGGCCTGCCTTCCTGCTGCTGGTTGCCACCGCAGCCGCGGCCACCACCACCACTTCTCCTTCTCCCCTCCGAGGCCGCCGCCTGCCTGCCCGCCTGCCGCCCGCGCAGGGTCCTGGAGCGCAGGGGGGCGGGGGGGAGAGAGATGAGGGAGGGAGGGAAGGAGAGAGGGAGGGAGGGAGACGGGGAGGAGGGTGGGCAGGAGGGAGGCAGGCAGTCAGAGAGAGAGAGAGAGAGATGGAGCGATGGGAGTCAGGGGAGGGGGAGCCCGTATTGGTCCGAGCTGGGGAGCCCCCGGAGAGGAGAATGCTGATGAGGGGAAGGCGCTGCATTGGACAGAGGGCCCACCCGCCGCCACCTCCTCCACCACACCATGCCACCGCCCTGCCCAGGCAGCCCTTGGGCACAGGAGTCCACAGAGACACAGCTGAGAGGCAGGGAGACCTGGGGAGAAGGCCATGGAGCTGGGGGAGAGGGCTACAGAGATGAAGAAAAATGCAGAGAAACAGCAAGACAGCCATCAAGAGCCACAGAGGTGGACCAAGGTCCGCAAACCCCACAAGGACAAGGACAGGGAAAAGCCCAGAGCAAAGAAAGGGTCATCTAGACCAGGGAGCAGACCACAGAGACAAGCTAAGGACCTCGGAGACAAGGGCAGCTCGTGGACTCAGAGAGCCCCCCATGAAGATGGGGACAGGGGGCAGCTCATGGACTCAGAGAGCCCCCAGGAAGATGGAGAGAGGCCCACAGGAACAGAAAGCACTCCTCAGGCATGGGGAGTGGTCCATAGTGACAGGAGAAGACCATGGACAGGAGGAGAGGACCACAGACACTGGAACAAGGATGCATATTACAGAGACAAGGAGGAGGGCCAAGAAAAGTGGGAGAGGGTCACGGAAATGGAGGGAGGCCCACAGACACCAGAAAACCCACAAAGGCAGAATGTGGACACAAAAGGCCCACTGAGGCAGGAGCAGCCGGCCCATGGAGAAAAGGGAGAAGCCCCCAGAAATAGAAATAGTCCCCATGGAGGTGAAGGGATGGGTGGTGAGTATGAGAATTCTCCATCATGCAGAAAGAAATCCTGGGGACCTGAGTGGGTGGGAGAAGATTCACCCAAGCATAGTCAGTGGGAAAGGGCAGGGAGCTGGAGGGCAGAGCCAGCAGAAGTGGAAGACTCACTCCCTCTTGGAGAGAGCTGAGCAGGGCAGGGGGATGGAAGAGAGAAGCAGAGATACAGATCTTGGAGTGGGGGTGGGTGGTGCATGGCTGGGTGGGGGGTGAAATTTTGGGGGAAGGAACATGACAGTTGGCGCTGAAGGCTGAGTCCATGACTCACCACCACCCCCAATGCTCGTGATGGGGAGGAGACACTGAGACACTCACGTGCAGCCCCCAGCACACGTGACCGCATGCCTCGCGCGCATACACTCTGCACGTGGCAACTCTCACATCGGCCTGGCATGGGAGGCCCCCTGCATCCCCCACATGCTTCTGACATATACATCTGACCCTGAAGGCCCACCGACTTTACATATACCTCCTTGCCCTACTTAAGGGGCCCCCAACACCCACCCTCAGCTCCAGCTCGCTCTGAAAGCGCAGACTCGCCCTGGCCTCTAGGCCTTTGCTTATGCAGGGACCCCAGCGTAGAATGCCTATCCTAGATTGAACCTGTCCCAGAAGTCCTAGTCCTGTGCCACCATCTCCAGAAAAACTGACGCAGGCCTCAGGTTACTCCTGTATCATCTGAAGTGAAGGGACCTAGTCAATCCAGATAAATTGGGAAATACAAGCAGAAGGTCGCAGCAGAAAGGGGCCTGATAAATCAAGCCTGACCCTTCCATTTTCAAGTGGACAGGAGTGAGACTCTGCCCCAGGGCATGGAGCCTGTCAAAGGCTGAGTCTAGCTTCCAGGTTATCTGGTTCCTGCCCCTGGTGATTTCATCCTGAGGGCAAATCCAGATTACTAGCCTTAGAGCTCACTGGTTACCACCAACTTCTTTCCTTTACTTATTGCATTCATCCATTTAGCATGCCACTCTGGATGTCCCACCTGTCAGGCAGTAGAGCCTGGGAGCCAAGAGTATAGACCTTGGAGTCAACTCCTGGGTTACAATCCTGGCTCTGTCTCTTCCTAATGATGGACAAGTTATTTAATTTCTCTGAGCCTCAGTTTCTTTGCAAAGTGAGAGCAATAGTTCCTCCCTCCCAGGGTTATTGAGAGGATTAAACTGTATGATGCATGGAAAGCACTGAGCATAATACTTAGCAAGTCATAACACACTCAAGACACATTAGCTATTATTACTAGGCTCCTTGAGATCCTAATGAAAAATAACTCTTGGGTTTCCCTGGTGGCGCAGTGGTTGAGAGTCCGCCCGCCGATGCAGGGGACACGGGTTCGTGCCCCGATCCGGGAAGATCCCACATGCCGCAGAGCGGCTGGGCCCGTGAGCCATGGCCGCTGAGCCTGTGCGTCCGAAGACTGTGCTCTGCAACGTGAGAGGCCACAAAAAAAAAAAAAAAAAAACCTCTTACATAGATTTAAAAGTTTTTTTAATTAAAAAAATCTTACTGAAGTATAGTTGATTTACGTGTTAATTTCTGTTGTACAGCAAAGTGATTCAGTTATACATATATATTCTTTTTCATTATGGTTTATCACAGGATATTGAGTATAGTTCCCTGTGCTATATGGTAGCACTTTGTTGTTGTTGTTGTTGTTTTGCACTTTGTTGTTTAATCCATCATACATATAATAGTTTTCATCTGCTAATCCCAAACTCTCAATCCTTCCCTCCCCCACCTCACCTCCTTGGCAACCACAAGTCTGTTGTCTATACCAGTGAGTCTGTTTGTTTCGTAGGTATCTTCATTTGTGTTGTATTTTAGATTCCACATATAAGTGATATCATTATGGTATTTGGCTTTCTCTTTCTGACTTACTTCACGTAGTACGATAATCTCAAGGTCCATCCGTGTTGCTGCACATGGCATTATTTCATTCTTCTTTATGGCTGAGTACTATTCCATTGTATATATACCACATCTTCTTTATTCATTCATCTGTTGATGGACATTTAGGTTGCTCCCATGTCTTGGCTACTGTGCATAGTGTTGCTATGAACATAGGGGTGCGTGTATATTTCCAAATTATAGTTCTGTCTGGATATATGCCCAGGAGTGGGATTGCTGGATCATAAAGCAACTCTATTTTTAGTTTTTTGAGGAACCTCCATACTGTTTTCCATAGTGGCTGCACCAATTTACATTCCCACCAACAGTGTAGGAGGGTTCCCTTTTCTCCGCACCCCCTCCAGCACTTAACTCTTACATAGCTTTTACTCTGTGCCTCACAACCACACAAGACAGGGGCTATTATCCTGCAAGTGAGGAAACTGAGGCACAGAGGAGCTGACTTGCCCAAGACAACAGCTAAGAAGTGGCAGGGCCAGGATTCCAATCCAGGCAGCCTGGTTTGATTACATGGGTCTGGAGTTAGAGTTTAATCTAGCAGAAAGTTAGGATACCCAGTTAGAATCCAATCGAAGGACATAGCAAGAGTGGCTGAAGAGTCAGACCTAGGTCTGACTCAGTGTTTGGGGTCCCCTAGGAGCTTTTTGGCCTTAGGAAAGTAAATGACCAATTCCTCTAGACTCAGTTTACTCATCTGAGAAATGGGGGGGGGCCGGTTAGAACAAGTGAATCTCTTGCAGCTCCTGTCCTTGGGAAGTAGCACTGGAAACATAACAGTCCTGGGGCAACTTGCTCCCAAGGCTCTGAGGGCCAGAAGGGGACGTTCAGTAGGAATGGCCAGAGCTCCTTGAACATATAGGTACTCCAGCTTCCCTGAGCTTTGGGGGCATCAGCCTGGAAGGGGGGCACCCTAGAAGAAAGGAGAATATAATCCAGACATTACAGGGTCACTTTCTTCAGGTTCTCACCCTGGTTGTCCTTCAGGTCATCTACCCCCGACATTTCCTGTTTCTTCAAATGAAACTGCCTGAGCTGTCTGAGGACTGGGCACTGTCACACCCACTGGCTCAGTCCTGGGGTCGGGATTGGCCTGAGACCTTAGTGACACTTGAGTAAGGGAGGTGGGGCAGGGACTAGGTTTCCCAATAGGCAGGGATTCAGACCTCTGCCCTTGGCTAGAGGAAGCCTGTGGGTACCATGGCAGGGAGAGAAGGGTCCCTCGAGATCCCCATTGCAACTTCCTCTGTCCTGTCTGTCCTGGCTCTGAAAGCCTTGATAATAAAGAGACACTGTCCTGGACTTGGTTTCCTTTGAGATTCTCTTGGACCAGGGCCTGGGTTGAGGGGAGCTTGGGGAAAAATGATGATCCATCTGGATACTTTCCATCAGTAGTTTACTGGCTAGCTCCTTCCTGTCATTCCTCAGTGACCTCAGAGAGAGGCCCACCCAAGTTCATTCCACACCCTCTGCCTACCTGCTGTATTTTCTTTACAACACTGTCACTGGCTGTCTACATTTATTTTTGTACCTGGTATTTTCTACCCTCACTAAAATGTAAACTCCACGAGGGCACAGACTTTTCTTGTTCCTTCTCTATCCCTACAAAGATTAACCTTGACCTGGCATATCGTAGCCGGTTATTAAATAATCACGAATAGAAAACAAAACAAATGAAACTGCCCGTCCCCGATTTTATGTTTTCTCCTCCATTTCCCATTTCCTCCCTTATGCTTCAGGTTTTCATTGTTCCCTCAGATTCCTTCTCTCCTTGTTTTTCCTCCGACATTTCTTCTCCCCCTCCCTCAAGAGTCCCTCAGTTTTTCTTCCCTTCCTTCTTGCTGCCTTTATTCCTCTTTTTTAAAAAATTAATTAACTTATTTTTGGCTATGTTGGTTTTTTTGTTGTTGTTGCCGCTCCCGGGCTTCCTCTAGTTGCAGAGAGCGGGGGCTACTCTTCGTTGCGGTGCCCGGGCTTCTCATTGCAGTGGCTTCCCTTCTTGTAGAGCACAGGCTCTAGGCGCCCGGGCTTCAGTAGTTGTGGCTCACGGGCTCTAGAGCGCAGGCTCGGTAGTTGTGGCGCATGGGCTTAGTTGCTCGGCGGCAATGTGGGACGTTCCCCGTCCAGGGCTCGTACCTGTGTCCCCTGCATTGGCCGGCAGATTCTTAAACACTGCGCCACCAAGGAAATCCCTATTCCCTTCTTTCTAATGAAGTGAGTCTGGAGCCTTGATTTCCCCTTTTTCTCTCCCTGCAATTGGTGCTATAGTTTCCCGTCTCCCCTTCGCGCTGACTGTGCTTCACTCTCTCCTTTCTTTCCTCTGGGATTCCTGCGCCTCGAGTCCCCCGCCTCCGCCCTCCGAGTGTCGGGTACCTCAATTTCCCCCACTTTACCCCTCGACCCCGAGGCACCTCCCGACCGGCAACCCCAACATGGCGCCCGAAGCAGCGCTCCGCCGTCTGACGTCACCGCGCTGTCCTCCCCTCTAGAGCCTTCAAACGGAATCGCTGAGGAGGTTGAGGAGGAACATCCTTCAGGGGGCGTAAGGGGGCGGGCACTATCAACCCGGGGGCCGGCCGGTGAGAGAACGTCGCTGGAGGATTGGTTGGGCGCTGCGGGGGATCCAAACGTCACATATTATTGGCCCAGGGCTCGGAGACGTGAGCGTCGATTGGCAGAACGGCAGGGGCCAGGCGGGCGATGATTGGGCTCATTCGCCATCGGCGCGGCGGCCGACGAGGAAGGTGGGAGGGGCGTTCCTGAGGGTGATTGGGGGCGAGAGCGAGGCTGCGGAGCAGGCGAGAGGAGACGGCGGGAGCTAGAGAGGGCGTAGCGCTAGGGTGGCCGCGCGAGGGGAGCTGCGGCCCGGGCCGGGGCCCGGGGGGGTGCGAGACGGCTGAGGCGGGTAAGTGCGGGCGGGCGTGTGAAGGCAGGCCGGGCTCCCCACCCTCCCCCCGCGGTCTCCACTCGTCACCTCGCCTGCGCACTGAGGGCCGGAGGGGGGCGCGCGCCGGGAGATGAGGGCGGAGCGGTACCAACGGCCCGCGGGGCGCGCGGGAAGCTGGGCGGGGCCCGGGCCGGGGTGGCGGGTGGGAAAGGGGCCAGAGTCCTGGGAAGGGCGAGGAGGGACGGGGCTTGGGCTGGGGGCTGGCAGGGACCTGGGTGGTAAGGGAGGCGTTAGAGCTGCCCCCGGGAGGGTCTCCAAGGCTCCTGGGAGTACGCGGCAAAGGGCTGGGCGCTGGGACAGTCCAGGACCGAAGGAGGGTGGACGGTTAGAGGGCAGTAGGGTGCCCAGGGAGGGGTTTAGGCCGTGAGAACAGAGGTGGTTAAGTTACCGTAAAGAGAAACTCTAGTTATTCCTGGAGAGTTAGGCCAATGAGAGGGGTCTTGGTGTGAAAAAGATATCAGGAAATGGATGTGACTAGAGGGGAGATTTAGAGCTGAGGGAGAGGTCCCGGTGTGAAGAATGGGGTTACATTAATGTGAAGAGTTAAACCACAGTGGGGGGGGGGCGCGTTGGGTACCCTTGGAATGGGTTGAGAGGGGTCTCTGTGCAAAGAAGGGTTATGTTTTATGTTATGTTAAGTGAAACTGGCGTCTGGGTATCCCTAGAATAACTTGAGGAGAAATGGTCTTTCTGAAAAGTACTAGGAATTAGGTCAAGGTGAAGAGTAGGAATTGGGGATCCCTGGAGGGAGTTAGGGTGGTGAGAGAGATCTGTGTGTTAAGCTGGGGAGGTCTGGGTAGCCGCAGGGTAGTAGGATGGTCAGAGGGCCCTGGGTGTGAGGAAGAGGGATCTGGCTATCTATCAGGGTTAGGGTGGTGGTAGGAGAGGTTTTGCCTAAGAGGGGGTTTCACGGTATTCTTAATGAGATTTGGACAGTGGGAGGGGTATGTGGGAAAGGAGTTTAAGCCATTATGAAGTATAGTCTGTATATCCTTGGATTATAATAGAGTATGTGTGGGATCTTTTTGTGGAAAAGAGGAATTTTGATATGAAGAGGGGGTCTGAGCATCCCTGGAATGGGTTAGGGTGGGGTTGGGTCTTTTTGCAAATAAGAGGGGTTTAGGTTGATACGAAGAATGGTGTCTGGGCATCCCTAGGATGGGTTGGGGTGGGGAGGAAGGGGGTCTTTTTGCAAAGAAGAAAAGGTTAGGCTAATAATGTGAGGTGGCGGGAGTCTGTCCCTAGAATGGGTTAGGGTGAGGGTGGGTCTTTTTGTAAAGAAGAGGGGTCTGGGTATCCCAAGAATGGGTTAGGGTGGGAGGGGTCTTTTTTGCAAAGAAGAATATGTGAAGAGAGGTTCTGGGAATCCCTGAATGGTCTAGGGTGGTTGTCCATAAAGAAGGAGGGTTTAAATCAGTATGAAGAGGGGGTCTGGGTACCCCAGAGAGAATTGTAGATGATGTCTCAGTGCACAGAAGAGGTAGGTGATTAATGTGAAGGGTGTCTGGGTGCCCTGGAAACATGAGTTAGGGTGGTGGGAAGGGTCTGAATGTGAAGAAAGGATTAGGCTTTTGTGAAGATGGGTTTGGGTGTCCTGGATAGGCCCTTAGGGTTGTGGGAGAGGGCCTTGATTTGTAGAGGGAGTTAAATAATTTGAAGAGGGGGATCTGGGGATCACGGGGAAGTGGTTAAGGTTTGGAAAAGGTCTGCGTGTGGAGATGGGTTAGGCCAATGTGAGAAAACTTTATTGATGTGAGGAACCTGGGCATCAAAGGGAGAAAGTTAGCGGGTGACAAGCTGTGTACAAAGGAGGAGGGTTGCATCATGAGAGGGTGCTGAAAGTGGCAGGGCCCTGGGGCAGTTTGAGTGGTCAGTGTAAAAAGAGATAGAGAACCTGGGGGTGGGAGCAGAGGAGGAGTGAAGCTCTGAACAGTGGGTGGTTTGGGCCTGTGTGAGGACTCTCCCCAGCAGTTGGGGGTAGGGATGGGGTAGTATGTTAGTAAGAAGAGTCAGTGGAAGGAAATCTGACTGGAGAGGGTCCTGTGTGATGGGTTGGGGCTTTGGGCCAGCTGTGAGGCATGAGAATGAGAGATTGAACAGGTTGCAAGGATCTGGTAGGTGGAGTTTAATGCTAGTTGATGCAGAGGTGAGATTTGGACAGATCCACTGGGAACGGACTGCGGGGAAGGTTTTGTGCTTGGTGCTCTTGTGTGTTCAGGAGAGGAAGGATTGTTAGGGAGTGGAAATATGGAAGCAAGAAGTTAGATGGGGAAATTGATCTAGGATTTTGGTAGGGAAATGATAAAGGGAAAGAATTTTCCCTGGGAAGGACTGAGGAAGCAGTGGCTTAGATACAATTTGTCCCCACTTCTCCCAGCCCAGGGTCTTGCTGCCGTCATGACTGAGGAGTCAGAGGAAACAGTCCTATACATTGAGCACCGCTATGTCTGCTCTGAGTGCAACCAGCTGTATGGATCCCTGGAGGAGGTGCTCATGCATCAGAACTCCCACGTGCCCCAGCAGCACTTTGAGCTGGTGGGTGTGGCCGACCCTGGAGTCACTGTGGCCACAGAGGCAGCTTCTGGCACGGGCCTCTATCAGACCCTAGTGCAGGAGAGCCAGTACCAGTGCCTGGAGTGTGGGCAGCTGCTGATGTCACCCAGCCAGCTCCTGGAGCACCAGGAGCTGCACCTGAAGATGATGGCGCCCCAGGAGGCAGCGCCAGCTGAGCCACCACCCAAGGCACCCCCCCTGAGCGCCAGTACCATCCACTATGAGTGTGTGGATTGCAAGGCTCTCTTTGCCAGCCAGGAGCTCTGGCTGAACCACCGGCAGACGCACCTCAGGGCCACTCCCACCAAGCCTCCGGCTCCAGTTGTCCTGGGGTCCCCCATGGGCCAGGCCCGCGTGGCTGTGGAGCACTCATACCGCAAGGCGGAAGAAGGTGGGGAAGGGGCAGCTGTCCCCTCTGCCGCTGCCACCACCGAGGTGGTGACTGAGGTGGAGCTGCTCCTCTACAAGTGTTCTGAGTGCTCGCAGCTCTTCCAGCTGCCAGGCGACTTCCTGGAGCATCAGGCCACCCACTTCCCAGCTCCCGCCCCAGAGTCTGAGGAGCCTGCCTTGCAGCAGGAGACTCTGACCCCATCACCTGCAGAGGTGCCTGTGTCTCAGCCTGACCCACTGCCATCCTCTGACCACAGTTATGAGCTGCGCAACGGTGAAGCCATTGGACGCGATCGCCGGGGGCGCAGGGCACGGAGGAACAACAGTGGAGAGCCAGGCGGGGCAGCCACCCAGGAGCTCTTCTGCTCAGCCTGTGACCAGCTCTTTCTCTCACCTCACCAGCTGCAGCAGCACCTGCGGAGTCACCGGGAGGGTGTCTTTAAGTGCCCCCTGTGCAGTCGTGTCTTCCCCAGCCCTTCCAGTCTGGACCAGCACCTCGGAGACCACAGCAGCGAGTCTCATTTCCTGTGTGTGGACTGTGGCCTGGCCTTTGGCACAGAGGCCCTCCTCCTGGCCCACCGGCGAGCCCACACCCCAAATCCTCTGCATTCGTGTCCATGTGGAAAGACCTTTGTCAACCTCACCAAGTTCCTTTATCACCGGCGTACCCATGGGGTTGGGGGTGTCCCTCTGCCCACAACACCAGTCCCACCGGAGGAGCCTGTCATTGGCTTCCCTGAGCCAGCCCCAGCAGAGACTGGAGAGCCAGAGGCCCCGGAGCCCCCCGCTGCTGAGGAGAGCCCAGCAGGGCCTGCTGCCCCAGGCACCTACCGCTGCCTCCTGTGCAGCCGTGAATTTGGCAAGGCGTTGCAACTGACACGGCACCAGCGTTTTGTGCACCGGCTGGAACGGCGCCATAAGTGTAGCATCTGCGGCAAGATGTTCAAGAAGAAGTCTCACGTGCGTAACCACCTGCGCACACACACAGGTGAACGGCCCTTCCCCTGCCCAGACTGCTCCAAGCCTTTCAACTCACCCGCCAACCTGGCCCGCCACCGGCTCACACACACAGGGGAGCGGCCCTACCGGTGTGGGGACTGCGGCAAGGCTTTCACACAGAGCTCCACCCTGAGGCAGCACCGCCTGGTGCATGCCCAGCACTTCCCCTACCGCTGCCAGGAGTGCGGAGTGCGTTTTCACCGCCCCTACCGCCTGCTCATGCACCGCTACCACCACACAGGCGAGTACCCCTACAAGTGTCGCGAGTGCCCCCGCTCCTTCTTGCTGCGACGGCTGCTGGAGGTTCACCAGCTTGTGGCCCATGCCGGGCGCCAGCCCCACCGCTGCTCGTCCTGTGGTGCTGCCTTCCCTTCCTCGCTGCGGCTGCATGAGCACCGCTGTGCAGCTGCCGCTGCCCAGGCCCCGCGACGCTTCGAGTGTGGCACCTGTGGCAAGAAAGTGGGCTCAGCTGCTCGGCTGCAGGCCCACGAGGCAGCCCACGCAGCTGCTGGGCCTGGGGAGGTCCTGGCTAAGGAGCCTCCGGCCCCTCGGGCCCCACGGGCTGCTCGCACACCAGTGGCCTCCCCAACGACCCTTGGAGGCATGGCACCTGCAGCCCCTGCGGCCCCTGCCCGACGCCGTGGCCTGGAGTGCAGCGAGTGCAAGAAGCTGTTCAGCACGGAAACGTCACTGCAGGTACACCGGCGCATCCACACAGGCGAGCGGCCATACCCGTGTCCAGACTGTGGCAAGGCCTTCCGTC